CCGGTTTAAAAATGAAAAAGAAAAAAAGGCAAAGTTCTCCTACCAAAGAGACTATATTTTCTAGCAGTAAAACTCTTTCAATAAAAAAGTCAAAGCACCTTCACTCTAAAAAAAATTATCTTAAGTCACCCTTAGCTCAAAAGAAAGGAACACCTATAAAAAGTCATTGCATTGGGATGGTACCATACATTAACATTTGTCCCCGTGCATTTTATTCATTCCTTAGGGAGCAATGGGCAGCTTGCAGTGCCGGGAAGTATTGTGGGGTTACTGTGGGTTGTTCAGGGACCCCAGGGTTAGAGTCTAAGGGTTGAAATGGTAATTTTGCTGCCTCTTTGGGATGCAAAAGGTATGCTCTCTGACCACTAGGTCACTACTCCCCTTCTCACAGACTTCCACATTCCTTGCATCTTTAATTGGAATCATAACCCTTGTTTTATTTCTACTTAGAGATATTTATGTACAGTAATTCAGGATTATTTAACTTTTATGTAGTATTCTAGTCCAAAAACATACAGGACCTATTTTGAATGTAAAGTCATATTGTTCTCAATAGCAAATAATACAATGATAAATTCACGACTTTTAATTGGGATGAATTAAGTTCCTAAATTCATTTGCAGATTGTCAGGTGAAATCATGAAAGGTACGAGGGGATTTTCACAGTGCTGGCTGCTGTGTCTTAGTACTTAATGTTAACTAATTAGGTTCTCTCTTCAAAACATTTAGACATTTTGAAATCCTTGCTTTAACAGTGTATTTAAGGTAGCAAATTTTCCTTAATGTATATGCCATTCTCTTGTTTGTATATTAATATGTTATTAGCCTTTTTTTTAGCTTTTTTGAATAGCATTTTTTTTCTTCAAGTCAAGTAATTTAATGCAATATGCAGGAAATAAAATGGTATATCATGGAGAATTTGGCATATATGTTTATTCTTTTTAGTACATTTCAAGGATTTTGTGAATTTATTGTATTTTGCAGAATCATTTAAAGCAAAACAGTAATCAAATAATCAAAAGGTGTACATAAGATGTATATATTCTAACAGTAAATGAATTAATAAAAAGGTGTAATTTTTCTGAAAAAACAAACCAAAAAAACAGGCTTGCAAGTGTTTGGGTTCTCTAGCTTCTAAACTGATCTCTCTCTGTAGTAACAGAATCAATACAAAAAAAAAAATGTTATCCAGACAATTAATATAAAACAGCTGCTGAATGTTTTTATTTCTTCTGTCGACAGAACTGCTTAAAAAATGCCTAAAGCAGGTCCTGGCATGGTCGGCCTTGCTCTGTGAATGTGTAGATGTTACCTTTGACATCATGCTATTGCTTCAAATGTATCTTTAACACACCAGCATTTTAAAATGAATACAAGAAAGGTAGGCAATCATGTGACAGTCAGTAGCTCTTTATGCCATTCTTAATTTACCAAAAGGTTTCCTGGTAAAACCACAAAAAGAAAAACCCAGGTCCCAAATGCCAAAGCATGTTCTCTATCAGGGGTCTCCGACCTTTTTAAGGCTTAGAGCTACTTTATGGTTACTGAGTCATATGAGGGGCTATCTATACTAACCTACAAATGGATCAGTCAGCGTTCACCCAAACACATTTTTAATTTATTTTAATTTCTGCAATTATTTAAGATATTGTCATTTTAAAATCTTTATTAAGACTTAAATGCTCTATATGATTAATATGATGAAACGCTTTATAATTGATTAAAAAGGAAGAGCAACTGAATAAAATAAAATTTCAAACTTAGCGCACTGGTGAGTTGTTCTGTTTCAAAAAACTCTGAGGGTACCCCATGTGGTCCTTGAGGGCCTCCTGGTGACTCCTGGTCTATATTTTGTACAGGTCAGCTCTGTGGGTTTCTTCTGAACTTCTCAACCTTAGAGCCCAGCTTAGAGAGTTCTACCTTTTAGAAAATGTGTGGTTTTGGTTCCAGAGATCCCAGACACCATGGGGGGACTGTTCTTACTCACCTCTGACAGCAGGTGAAGAGCAAGATGATCCCACTGCTGTTTGTGTATTGACAAAACATAAGTCACATTTACACCAAGAGAGTTCTGGGAGCCTCCTCTCTGCTTTTAACATGGTCCAGCCATTTGCTGCTCAGAGGAAAGCTGTAGAAAGCAGGCCACATGGACCTCCAACATGTCTGTGAATGTCTGATTTGAACCTATTTTGTGGTCAGCTGATCAACAGATCGCAATATGTAGGGCTCTGTGACTGTCTAATGGGAGAGTTCTCAGCATGAGGGCTCCAGGGGACACAGTAGAGGTGAGATGATGCAGCTTTTGGTGCAAACTGAACCACCTGTGAATCAATAACAGCAAGACAAAGGAAGTGGTGATCGTTTTTAGCAGAAAGGCAGTGAAAACTGCACCAATCAACATCTAGGGTTAAGACATCAAGGTCATGCAGGAATCATAACACCTTGGTGTTCACCTTAAACACAAACTGAATTGGAGGCACAACACAGATGTCCTCTACAAGAAGGGTCTAAGTCATATCCACTTGCTGAGGGGGACAGAGGTCTCGCTGGCTGTGCAGGACTAATAACTTTGTAAGTCTGTGGTGGCATCAACAATTTTTTACTTTGTGGTCTGCTGGGCTGTGGAAGCTCAGAGAGACTGAAAGAGACCTAAACTGTTCAGAAGGGCTAGCTAAGTCTTCATCTAGCCTTTGGACTCCATAAAGGAAGTGGGTAAAGGATTTTAGCTAAGCTGAGCTCAATCACGGACTCTCCTCTCACCCCGTGTGAGACAGTGTGGGCCTTAAGCAGCAGACACAGCTGTTACACCCACAGTGCTAGAAGTAGCTGCTATCAGACTGTATAACACCCACAAAGTTGCATCAATAATTTTATATATTTGCACTACGGTACTTTTTAACACTCCTTCATCTGATCAATGCAACCATGCATTAAGAAAGTTCTTAAGGTTTTTTTTTTCACATTATTTACAATGTGCAATACCAGAGTTTTTAAAAACGAATAAAGTTATTTAAAGCTGAACTAAATTGAAGCATTCTTACACATATTTTCAGTAGATATTAAAAATATCTCTCTTCAGTATTTCACATAAGTTATAGTTTTCTACTCTAGTCTTTTTGCATTTGTCATTTTATTTGGACAAGCATCAATTGTTTTGGGACAGTTTATTGCCGTCTGTATCAATTTCTTTCACTGTTAAGTAAATTTTACCGATGTGGGATCAACAAATTGTCTCATCATCATCAGAGCTTTTGCTTTTCCATTTCATAGGGAATTCTATATTGTTTCCATGTTTTTTCAACAACTAGAGTTAAAATGAAGTTTAAATGTGTCCAAAATAGTTGTAGATTTACAAGCAAATTGATGGCCAACACATGCATGGAAATTTCAGTCCTTCTTGAAACATGAAAAATATGCTGTTGCTTTTATATTTGCAGTCTAATTATATTACTGACAAGCATGAAGTTTAATTTGTTGTCATTTTGTTTGACCAATCACACAATTTAAAAAGATAAAGTAGGATTACAACTCAGAACATGAACAGTTTCTACTGCAAGGAGAGGAGATTGGTAAGTAAGGGAATGAGTAATTAGAGTGCTGTGGTTAGGATAGAGAAGTCTTGCTGAAAGGGTTCTGCCTGGGCTCTAGTGGTTGTTCAGCAGACCAGAGGAACCTGTGATAAACAGAGGTAAGTTGAAGGGGGGGTGGGTTGAATAAAGGTTAAGGGAGGAAGGGGAGTCCAGGACGCTGTCAGACTTGACAGGGAAATACAGATAGTTGGTCAATGATATTGGCACTAGAAAGCATTCAATGAACAGTTTGTTTAGCTTTTGATTTGCAAAAAAAATAAAAAATCATAGGGATTTATTTTCTCTCTCTTCATAATTGGTAAAAAGGCACTGGAATTCAAGATGATTTACTTAGTGATCCAGCAGAGGGCGCAACTGCATAAAAGGAAGAAAAGCGCACCTGCTGTGAGGCTGCAGCATCAGCACCACTCCTCCTCCAGATCCCTGCCCCTTTCTCCTCCTCCTCCTCTCCCTCCTGTCTGCAGCATATATCTCTCCTGCACTGGTTATGCCATCCTGAGCCTAAGAGAGAGCAGAGGAAGCAACAGAGCCACGCGGCTTTGTTTCCATCTTTTCGGCCAGCCTCTCCAATGAATCAGCGCCAGAAAACAACCTTAAGTAAGTGGCCACACTGAAAACACCCTTTGCGTGTTTGTTTTTCACAGCAACAACCAGGAGGCCAGCTGAGGTTTATGTGTCGCACATATATTTGCTTTTTTTTTACCTTTCCTTTTGTTTTATTTTTATTTTTTTACTGGAACGGTTCATTTGCAGCTAAGATGGATCTGATTATTCATTTTAACACGTTTGCATATAGGGGATTGACGTTTTATGAGAGTTAGGTAGGGTAAATAATATAGGGGCGACTAAAGAGCAAGTAAGGTCATACAGGTTGATGTGATTGATGTAGGAGGTGTCATCTCTGAGTTTGTCTGTGTGTGTTGATAATGATCTTGCATAAATCCCAGGCTTCAGACATGTAGACTTCAGTTATATCTGCACTGTGAGGTAATAACCATTTGTATTAAATTTGTATGGATTTCAGCATACGTGCTATGTGCTAATAAATAGTTCCTTTTTTAGATTCTTAAATGTACACAAGTCTATCATGTTTTATGGGATAAAGGAATCCAGATATATCTATTGCTTTTTGGGTTATGGACTGATGATTGATAAGCAAGCAGAATTACTTGGATTACTGTTGTTGCTTTATTTGTTTAAAGCAAGAAATAAGAAATCTTATTTGAATAGCTTCTTATAATATTTTGTGTAGTTATTAGTATTAGTATAATTTAATTTTGTTAATGCTTACAGCACTGTTGCTTCTCAGAGGGCCCAGGAAATTGAGTTCAACTGGAAATACTGGAAAAATACCTTTGAGATGCTTTGGATAAGGATTTATGGTTCTTAGATGATCCTTATATCCAAATTTAAAATCTGCCTGTACCGATATGTTCCATCTATCCAGACAGTGTTTACTAAGAAATTATTGGTGCGCAAAGTATGAAATATAAAAAAAACTAATAATAAAATAGAGCGTACACCATCAGCTATGCTGTTGCAGTATGCAATCCTACATTTAGTTGCATAATTATTTAGAAGCCTTATAATTGTCTAATTAGCCCTCAGAACAACCATGACTCCCTTTAGTTTATTTCCTGCAGCTTTCTGAGATAGCTGAAAGTTAAAAACCTGTGCACATCAAAGTTTTTCGTTTTGAACAGAAAAAGCTCTGCTTTCTTTCTACTGTGCATCATAACAGCTTTTTTTTCTCTGAAAACAATACTGGTTTAAAAGGGGTTCCTAACTGAAAAGATTTCAAAAACACAAACGTCTCTCTTCTGTGCAGAATAAATAATGTATTCTGCCTGTATTAAGAAGCCTTGACACATTTGGAGTAGAAATTGAACATAGAGCTTTTGCAGGAATGCATGTAGTGTAATAATATGTACCCCCTTCTAGAGACAAGACAGCAAGTTTATAAAAAAAAAAAATTTGTTTATACTTTTGTCTTGTGCATGGTGATCACAGAAATGGAAAAATAAATAATATCTTTGTTGCTTCTCTGCAGAACTGCAGGGCTTTCTGCTAATGTAAAAGAATACCATAATAGTTTGAGTTAAATTTTGACACTCACAATATTTAGTCAAAACACAAGCATTCTCTAAAAAGGTGAAACCGGGTTGCAGAGTACTCACTCTGCAACAGACTCCTATCCCTTCACCTTGTAAGGGGTCAACAGTGAGAACACTATTATGGGTAGGAAAGGAGCTCGGTCCTGCTGTGCTGAATCCGGACAGCCCTAAACCTCCTAGATGTCATTACTAGACAAAAATGCCCATGGAAGATGACAAAAGCCTTTCGAAAAAGAATTACAAAAAAAAAGTAACACAAATGTTTTGAAAGGGTGAAGCTCTTCATTATAAAACTCAAAACATTTGAAGTTATGTATATCTGCTTACACTGAACTACATATGAAGAAAAATTGTATTTATGTTCAACTCCATGAGGTGAGCTTTATCTTTATGTCCTGTAGCATAAAGTACTGTGGGAATACGTGAAGCTCGTATGCGTCAGATTTGAATGTCAGGAGCTCCCTATGCTAAAGACACTATGGAAAGGAAGCATCCTGCTTCCTCCTCCTACCTCCTTCCTTACTGCTGGCACTATTCAGACTTTGTTTATTATGATGGAGTATTAGGGCCAGACTAGAGCCAGACTTTTTTTAATATTATTTTAAATTTGAGAATAAAGTCACAATATTATGAGAATAAAGTCACAATGTGAATAAAATCATAAAATTACGAGAAGGGAGTCCCAACATTATGAGAATAAAGTCGCAACATTACGAGAATTAACTCTTAAAATTAACAGAATAATATCACAACATTGCAAGAATAAAGTCCTAATATTACGAGAATAAAGTCTCAGTTGTATTTTATGACAACTCTTGCAAGAAGCACTTTCTTCCCTAAAATGAGGAATGTCGAGCATTATGTGAAGTTTTACTTTGGCATCAGTTTGACAAATAAGGAAATCTTTCAGCATGCCAGCATTAAATTGTGCAGTATGTCAAAGTGAACTCAGTTTGCTGTTTGTGTGTGCTGGTCGTCCGTCATATGCTGGTTGAAGCTCAAAGCTTTCTTTCTGAAACAGGTTGTGGTATGATGACTCTACTCTCATAAGTTTTCAACTTTATTCTCGTAATTTTATTACTTCATTCTCGTAAATGTACGACTTTATTCTCATAATGTTATCACTCTATTCTCTTATTTTAAAAAAAGTCTCTAGCCTGGCACTGATACTCGTAGTTCATCATGGCGACTGCTGACGCACTTAAAATTTGGCCTAAATGTCCTCACCAATTTGCCCATTTCAGATGAAGCCACTGTCAGTGGACATTCTTCCGTAAAAACCTATGACCCATATTTAAATAGAAAAGTAAACTCAAGCTATCTGGCAAACCTAAAGATACACATCTATTGATGGTTCAAAGATCTATTTAAATTCAAATTAGAAGATAAACTGAATCACAATCAAATTAAGACCTCTAGCGACATAAGATTGTGCTGTTTGGACTGGTGACCCAATTGAAGATATGTGTCGAAGCCGAGAGTATTGAGTCAGATCGAACCTTTCTCTGTACAAAACTTTTATTATTTTGAAATTATGATGACAGAGTCGGGATTTTAATGTAATTAAATAATCTATGTTGCTTCTTTTATTCAAGTTATATTTTATGCAGATTTAGCTATTAAATGGAGAGTATAAACAAAACAAAAAAATCAGAAAAAAACATGGATAATATCAACAGGAGAACAGTGGTGCTGTGATGCTTGATAGGTTTAACTGGAGCTGAACAAGATTCTGCCCAGGGCTTTATACAACCTTGGTCCAGCTCTGTTGGGAAATCGTTAATTAAGACGCTACCTTACTGTCGAATACGTTTTGCTTTTCCGTGCAGGGAAAGCCCAAGGCATTGATGCCCCATTTTTCTGTGTTACACACTTAAAGCAAACCTGTTTTCAACCTGTCTATTGTGTTGCTTCAAAACATTGAGAGTCAAATGGGTTTGAGTTGAAGCATCAAAAAACGGCTGAGTGATTTTGTTTCACACTCCAAAGTCCCTCTACTGGTCGATTTGAGACTGATAATTATGTTGTCCTTGAAATCGTGAGGAGCACTATCAGACCCACTTGACCACAGTTCTTGTACCTTGCTCTGAGATTGCAGGTGTTTAAAGCCTTTCACTTCTGCAATATTAGCATCTTTTTAATAGAATGTGTTACTAATAAATCTAATTCTTAGAGTTTCACTGATTCCAGTTTTAAAAGTATATCATATTTTTGCGTCCTCTAGTACATATTAGCAATATGAAACCACAGCTATCCCTTCCTGTCATGTTAACGTGGAGCCTGACACCACGCGGCCTGTGACTGGTCTTTCAACTGTACGCCTGTCTACTGTCGTTGCCTTTTTGGACGCTGACACCTGCATGATTGATACATTCTGTCTGACCTCAGCTTTGTCTGAGCTGCGATCAATTCAGCAGGAACACCACTTACAGCTTGTGTGTCTGTGTGTGTTGTGCAGAAGCGATCTGATTCAGATATCATATAAACGTGTGTTTGTGTTTCTGAGGGGAAGAAAGCTGTGGGTAAAGCCCAGGACTATTGCACACTGCTGCAATCTTCAAGGATATTTGAAAGGGGAGGGCAAAACAAAGCAGAAGGAAGAGAGGTCACCGTGCGAGTGTGACTCATTGTATGTAATAAAGTTTGTTTGGATTACACAAGAACCAAATCCTGTATGAGGAACCATGCTTGTGTTACTTTTCAGGTCTATAGTAGGGGGAATGGCAGATTTTAGTGTTGAGCTGTAAAACATAGAAAGTGTATTTTTTTCTTAAAGATTCAACTTTTACACTACATCATGCACATTGTAATATCAAAGTTCTGTTTCTTATGTGAGTTCATGAGACATTATTGTCCTCCATTGGATTAACAATGGAGAACAATAATATCAAAATCAGAAAAAAAATGTGTTATTTGCAAAGTAATATTTTACTCATTTAAGGAATTTGCTTTATTGATAACGTGCTACATGAATGCAGTTATACAGCTGTCCCAAGTAAATGTGGAAATACATAATGAGGATTTAGAAATGCAAGCTTTATAGGAATTGAGATCGTTGGAAAAATATGGAAATAAAAAAAAAAAATAGAGAAAAGTATTAAAGACCAAAAATAATCCTGCATTCAATCTATATTTCTAATAATGCTCATTTAAAATATTTTAAAGAAGAATCCTCCAGCTGCCCAAGAGTTGTTCATATAAGAGTTTAAAAACAGGCTATGAAATTGTTGATTGTTTGATGATTCCAACCAGGGCTGAGACTGTTTGTGAGACACTTATTTAGAAAAAAAAGGAACACGCTGTTAAACTAAAGGTTTTTGTGGCATTTTCTGGAATTGGAAATGTGTCCTTAATTGATGAAAGTAATTAAACTGACATCTGAGGATGGATTTGTGTTTGCGGTTGTTTTTTACCCTATTAGGATTCTTTTTTGAAACTATGAACTAATAATTATCTAATTGGCCAATACAGATTTCTTGCTTT